CCTGATGATATTTATCAAATCCTAATCGAATATTATAATATTGCTTACGACTTGCAATTTGTAACAATTGCTGAGTCAACATCAACTAGTTCACAATAGTTGTGCCAAATATGATTGATCAATTTGGGCGGGTTAGGAACTCAGCAGAAGTGTTTGGATCGGCAATGGCACCCCAATACCTGAAAAACGTGAATGTTTTGGCGAAGTTTATCCAAAACAATGAAACGACTGATATATTTCCCGGTCAGGTACAGTATTATTTTGAACATACTTTGAGAATTTTGGGTGAACTTAAAACACATCGATTAGCATTTGTTAAATGGTATAAACTGGCGCCAAACCAGAAAACCTGATTTTATACAAGTATTGATGGTGATAAAAAAAGCTCAAATATTGAACTTTGGAGAAATGAATTTTATGAAATAGAGCGAGATTGTTTAATTCCAATTCATTACCTATATAGTCGCTTTGTATCTGGTGAATTTGTAATTGGCAAAAAGAATCCTATCACATATAATNTTAACAATAACTGACTATATAATAAATAAATTATTAATGATATATTAATTTAACTAGGAGTGTCCTTACCCCTATGATAAATATAAATTAATAACAATTCACATCGAATCCTAATACAACAGAATTAATGTAAATTAATGTAATTCTGCCTAAATATTAAATAAAATAGCCAGAATTATTAATCCTGATACGATCCTGATACAATCCTGATCCATAATTTAAATATAAAACACAGGGGTGATATTTAATGTCATAATGCATCAATATTTATTAATAATTACATTTAATTATAAAGAAATTCTTCGTTATAACTGAAAAAAATTCGTTATAAAAAAAATCCGTTATATCGAGAGGCATTTTTATATAAGAAATTCACACACTTTACTTCATACTAAGTTATAAGGTAAATAAATAGTAAACTTAGTTATATCAAGGTTTTTTTCATATTTAAAATCGGTACCACACTGTATGATCCGTTATATCATGTTATTCGCTATATCGAGGTTCGCTGTAGAGAGGGGTGACTGTAAAGGAAAGAGAGCGAGAAGTTAAGAGATTATAAAATCTAAACCAAGCATAATATTGAACTGAGTATGAGTTTAGTCTACTGATATGTGGCAGGTATCGGTGACACCGGACAAGAAGAGTCAACATCATTTAATAATAATTATGAATCAGATTTTGCCGGTTTTATCCCTCAAAAAAGGCGTAGACAAGACCAGTTTCGGGAACTGGAAGCCAATAAGGAAAGCAATGAACCGATTAATGAGTATGAATATGAAGGTGACATTTCTCCAGAAGACAATATGGATTTGGACGACGATCCTGTTAAACAATTTGCTGCGCCCGAAAATGATTCAGAATTCACATATCCCGACACAAATGTTAATATTGCAGATTCTTGGATATTGACATGGATATTCAAATATCAAGCAAGATTTTGCTTGCCGGATGTTGCACTAGATTCTTTAATAAAGTTTTTTCATCAAGTATTAATGGATGCTAATCAGACGAGATTCAAAGATTTCCTGTCTTCTTTATACACTGCGACTAAGTTATTACGAATCGACAACCAATCTATGACTTACGCAGTATGTCTGAGCTGTAATACATTATATAATATAGCTGATGTTGTTGCGGATGAAGGATTTAAATGTACGCATATAGAATTTCCAATGAAACAAAAGGAAAAATATTGCAGAATGGAATTAACTGTGAAAGTACCGCATGGTAATGGAAATAAAAGAAGCCCCAAATTGTTATTTCCATTACCGAATTTGAAAATACAGATAAACAATTTGTACCAGAGACCAGAATTCAAGCAACAACTACGAAAATGGACCAATCGGGATGTAAATAATGGTATGTTAGCAGATATTTATGACAGTAAAATCTGGAAAACTTTTCCAGACACTTCAGACGTCCCATTTTTTACACTGGAGACTGCAGATTCCCACTTGGGAATTATGATTAATCTCGATTGGTTTCAGCCTTTCGAGTCATCTGTATACAGATGTAGGGCTATTTATGGGGTTATTTGTAACCTACAGCGTGAAATTAGATTTAAAAAAGAAAATATGTTGACGCTTGGTCTACTACCAGGACCAAGCGAGGTTAAGTTACACAAAATTAACCATTATCTCGCTCAGATTGTTGATGAGTTATTAGAGTTCTGGAATGGGATTGAGATTCCCGCTGCTGAAAAAATATCCAATTGGCATTAATATGCTGTTCGAATGACATTCCTGCGACAAGGAAGCTCTGCGGTCACATATCAGCATCAGTGAGCTGCCATAGGTGTTATAAAACTGCAAATTCAAATGGAAATAGAAATAAGTCAAATTTTGGCGGCTTTGATGATATGGTTGACTGGTTTGTAGAAAGAGATTTGGATGAACATCGACGGAATGCTGAGCTTTGGAGACTATGTAAATCTGAGGAGGAAAGAAAATGTCATGTGAGTTCGACCCATGTTAGATGGTCCGAATTGCTTCGATTGCCGTATTTTAATCCAATAAGGTACCTTGTCATAGATCCAATGCACTGTTTGTTCCTCAGAATAGCCCATTGGATAATTAAAAAATTATGGATCAATGGCAACAAGATCACGAAACAAGATCTAGAAAAAATGGAAAAGCGAGCAAAAATCATACAAATACCCACGGATTTGGGGCGTATTCCAAATAAAATTGCAACTGGAGAAAGATTTTCTGCATTTACGGCCGACCAATGGAAAACGTTTGTTCTAATTTATGCTATTCCATTGATGTGGAATTTGCTCGCCAAATCAGATCGACAAATTTTGGGAAATTTCGTTAGAGCTTGTTTTCTGCTAGTTTATCGAATTATTGACTGTGACATATTGAACGAAGCTCACAAATGTTTGCTCAAAGTTGCAATGTTAATTGAAGAAAATTATGGTCCAGAAAGAATAACCCCAAACCTCCATTTGTATTTTCATATTGCCGATTGTTGCCTGAATTATGGTCCATTATATTCTTTCTGGTGTTTTTCCTTTGAATGAATGAACGGTATCCTCGGTAGGTATTTTGCGAACTGTTTAATCGTTTAGCTTGCTAATAATTTATTAAATAATATCAATAGGCTCTTTTCCCAATAGTAATCGTCAAATTGAACCCGAACTCTTACGAATTATAATGCAGCATTGGAGACTTGATAACCTTGTATCCGTTCAATCAAATAATGTTAAGCTTGTTGAAGCTTTAAAATTAATTCAACCACGATCAACTTCCGGAAGTTTAGCAGCTTACGATAATTTTAATTACACTGAGCTGCATCAATTTAGAAAGGTATTTTTCCAAGAAGTTGATGAAACAATTGTCGGTAGCGAACCACTTCCTGGAGAAATGCTTACGCTATATAAAAATCAGGTTGCCTTGCCTGATGATATTTATCAAATCCTAATCGAATATTATAATATTGCTTACGACTTGCAATTTGTAACAATTGCTGAGTCAACATCAACTAGTTCACAATAGTTGTGCCAAATATGATTGATCAATTTGGGCGGGTTAGGAACTCAGCAGAAGTGTTTGGATCGGCAATGGCACCCCAATACCTGAAAAACGTGAATGTTTTGGCGAAGTTTATCCAAAACAATGAAACGACTGATATATTTCCCGGTCAGGTACAGTATTATTTTGAACATACTTTGAGAATTTTGGGTGAACTTAAAACACATCGATTAGCATTTGTTAAATGGTATAAACTGGCGCCAAACCAGAAAACCTGATTTTATACAAGTATTGATGGTGATAAAAAAAGCTCAAATATTGAACTTTGGAGAAATGAATTTTATGAAATAGAGCGAGATTGTTTAATTCCAATTCATTACCTATATAGTCGCTTTGTATCTGGTGAATTTGTAATTGGCAAAAAGAATCCTATCACATATAATGCTGTAATCCCAATAAATAGGCAGTTTCAATTGTGAGAATTTTTACTGGTATAATAGAATTCTATTGTTTGGTGAAAATATAAATTTTAAATATGCAGATTTACTTTAACATTTAATGGAAGTGTACGATGTATTATATTTTTATTTTGTTAATTATGAGTAATTAATTAGTTACACAACTATTTCAATTCAAGTAACTAAATGATAGTTAAATAACCCTTCGACTGTTGTTAATATAAACAAAAAAGATCAAAATATCAAGACTCAGGCCGGTCCAAAGAACTCACGGCATCCAAGTCAACCGGTCCAGAGAACTCACGATTATGATCAAATATTCTGGAAAGTAATGCATACAGCAGGTACTGAACTCAGAAATATAATCCAGGTATTACATTCCCTAACCAATACGCCACTGCAGCATTAAAGTTACAATAAAAAAGTTCCAATATAATTTATTTGATTGATTTCTTATAAGATAATCATGCATGAGTAATTAGTCTATAAGCAGCAATAAAAATCGTGCCGATTATAAAAAAAATCATGATAAATAAGTTCATCAGCTTTCTGCCAGTCATCTCTTACGATTGGAAATTTTTTTTGAAGGTGGATTGTAATTGCAAAAATTTATTACAGGTATACCGATAATGATCAAATGGAACAAATTTACTTGAAAATTTAATGCATATCCTTCAATTTTAATAGGTCTAAGTCGGTAAAAACAAAGATTACATTCAGTCAGTTCGGTTATCAATTTTCTTTTATATAAACTGATTCCGCTTTAATATAATAATAACATTCTCTAACAATTATCTTATATTCGTACCAGTTTTTTCTTATAGTTATTGGTCATTCGTACGAATATCACAATATTCGGTTTTTATTTCTGCATTTTTTTTTTGGTCTACATTTTTTTGTAAATAGTCAAAGGTTATAAATTGATTTTTATTTTAATCCTAGGGTTATAATGGGCCGAAAGCATAAACATAGTAGCCTTAAATATATTAGGCAGAATCTGATACGAAAGAATGACAATTTAACGTGAGTAAATGATTCTTTACAAATAATGTCGAATCACGCAATGATCAGGGATATAGAATCTCAGAAAAAGGTTGTAGAATTAGAAAACTGTAATCGTGCGTTAACGGAAATCATGAGTATGCAGAAAGAAGCAAATGATTTTCTACAACAAAAGATCGATATATTAGAAACTCAACTATCCCTACTTAATAATTCAGAAATGGGAACTTTATTAAATAATCAAGAAGTGAATTCGTTCAGCAGTACTCTGATATTAGCATCCTCTGTCAAAATAAATAATATCAGTAGTGAGGAGGGTGAGGAGGATGAAGACGGTAAAATTAAAATACGTGAAATATGCGAGTAAGTCTTATTTCGATATAATACTTAATAATAGAAAAGTTGTAAGTCAATGATATATCTTATTAATGATATATCTTATTAAATAACAAATCATTTATGGAAAATTATAGTTAATATGCCGATAAGGATCAAAAAAAATATCCTATCGAGTGTGGCACATTTCGTTATATTACAATTATAAATCATTCGGAAAAATAATCAATAAAATTGTACAGAACAATTAATCTATCCGGACTAATACTAAGACTAATGACTAAATCAGCTCACAAATTGTTGAAATATTTTATTTCAAGATACGTAAACAATTAAGAAAAATGAGATTTTAGCCGCCTCCAAATGCATCATGCCGGCTACAATAGTTATGCATAGAAAACTGGCCGGTTACCAGATTATAAAGCACGTGTTTGCAATCTATGTTATGTGGTATTAATTAATTTTACTCAAGCTGTATACTGACGGAAAATATAATAACCATAAATTACACGTCAATTATTGTTTATCATGCATAAATATCAAATCAATTTGACTATTTTTATTTTTACAGAAAATCAGGTTTTAACATACTGTTTACTAAAACAAACTTATTGAATCTAGATACAGCTGAAGATTCTGTAACAACTTCTACACTTTCATCTTCAAAAAAATTAATATTTCAAAAATCAATCATCCATTTCCAAATGGTCATCATCAGAATGTTAATCAATAGGTCGGTTGTCGCTACTAGTTAACATAACTACCTCTTCTACCACCACTTCCTCCGCCTCTTCCTCCTTCTCTTTTTCCTCTTTCTCCACCTCTTTCTCCACCTCTTTCTCCACCTCTTCCTTCTCCACCTCTTTCTCCACCTCTTTCTCCACCTCTTCCTTCTCCACCTCTTCCTTCTCCTCCTCATTATTCTCTTCTTCGTTGTAAATTCTTGATAAATTAGATAAAACATCAGCCAAATCATTGTTTGAATCCGGCTGTTCTGGCAGCTGGTGTTGGTTTTCTTGATTATCTGATAACCTACAGGCCTCAATAACCGCTTTTTTTAAATGACCTTTGTATCCAAAACGAGCCCAAGACGGCGCCAATAAAGGCGCCGAAACTTCATTTTCACTAAAATTATTGGGATCAATAATTCTTTCACGTATTTTCTTTTGATTTGTCCATTCTGCTCTCAGCCGGTCGATATAATCACGTAGCAATGAACGTAACTTAATTAAAAATAGTTAGTACCAAATTAAAACAATAAAAGCAGGAAAGAAATACTCACAGTTGATAATCTCCATCTTAAATCTTTTATGACAATTTTATTTTTTTCATTTTCGGAATCAGTTTCGGATTCCTCAGGAGAATGATACAAATTGGATTCAATAATTGGCTGTAAATCAAACTTTTTGATTAAAGGATCTTTTACAAATTGTAAATGTTTGATTGTCTTTGCACGCTTTTTTCTTTTCTGTTTTAGATAAGAAGTTAGTATTAAAGCAAATATTTATAATGTACCAAACTTTTTACTCACATCATAACGTCAAGAATTTGATTGTTTTCTTTTTCTTTTAAGTTTTTTTTCGAAAAATGGAAGGTCCTCTTTAAGATACTCTGCGCGGTGATAACGATAGAGAGAATGGAGTATACTATAAATTATTTCGTCAGTAACAGGAAAAACATTATTGTTAATACTATTCATTATACTAGGTATAATAGAACTATTAATGAGCTCTCGCTGCTGAATGAAAGTATGTCTTAAATTCATTCGTTGGCTTTCCGGCAGGACATTGTAATGCCGAATAACTTCCTTCTATATGAAATTAATAATGCCGGTTAATAAATATATAAATATTAGCAATTAATAGTCATTTCAGTCAAAATGAATCAGATCGGATGGAATCCTTATTTACCCTCAAAGCATCATCAAGTTCTTTTGGCATGTCATTTCTTGTTAAATAAAAAACTGAATGTGAACTACTTTCACTCTCTGAACCGCTTGAATCTGATGAATTACTTGATGAACTACTTGATGAACTACTTGATGATTGAACCAGAGCTTTTTCTTTTTTTCTATTAGAAACTTTTTTTTTGGTACTTGACGAACTACTTGAAGAACTACTTGACGAACTACTTGATGAATGAACCAGAGCTTTTTCTTTTCTTTTATTAGAAACTTTTTTTTTGGTATCTTTTTTGTCGGCAGATTTTTTAGTATCATTTTTTTCCACTTTTATTTTTACATCGTCGTCTGAACTTATAATAACTGGATCTTCTTGAGAGCCAGCTATTCGGGAAGGCCCTGGTATTCTGTAGGGCAAACCTGCTGACTCTCGCGACTCTTGGGAATTAGTCAACTTTTCTATACATTGTGCCAGGTATTTAACCTATTCCGTTAGAGCTAAAAAAAATTTAGTTATTTTTTGAAAAAAAGGAAAAAAGCATGATCTGCAATTGCCGGTCTTACCAACTATTTCATCAACGTTTTCGATATCCTTATTAGATTTATTAGATTGATTGGGTTTATTAGATTTATCGGACATATTAACGATATTTATTTTTTTAATCTTTACCACAGGTAAAACGCTGACCAATCGGGTATCTACCCGATTGGTAACTTTTTTTTTGATCAGTCACCTGATTTATTCAATAGTTAGAAATTGGTGTACACTTCAATCGGGTATCAATCAGGTTAATACC